AGTTCAACTGTTTTGGAAATATTGACAGTTGAAAAGTGACTTTTTGCAACTTTGACAGGCCTAAACGGTTAATTTTAGAGGAAAACCGATTTTACATTTTTTAGATTTTCATAAACTATCATTTGACACCAACTTCGAATTTAATCCATGATTTATAAAAATCTAGGATAGGAACGTGAAATTGTTTTTCCTCAAAAATTAACCGTTCAGGTTCTACAGCCTGTCAAAGTTGCAAAAGGTCAATTTTTCGACTGTCAATATTTTCAAAACAGTTGAAATTAGGTATAGCGTGTATCACATGAAATCTACTCAGAATTTCACGTAGAATCCGAATATGCAGGGTGTCTCATTTAAAATAAACAAGTTGACGTCTACTTCCGGTATAACTGGAATTGCCACCATCTTGAAAATATTTTAGCCGGGTTGCCGTCATTGACATTAGTATACTGTCAAATTTTCATTTTCTGCATAGAGTTTTTCACATATAGATCGATGTGGTTCCCAGTGGGACACCCTGTATAGGATGTCCTATTGAAAAAAATCGGATTTTGGGCAATATCTCGAAATCGGAGCCAAATAGAAAAGAACTGAGAACGTCACTGAATTCCGCTTGAAAAAGTGCTTCTAGAAAGTCTGTACGGAAATCAATTATTTTCATACTATAAACAAAAAAGTTATGAAGCTTTCACAGTATTGCTCAAAATCAAGAATCGCCCTCTAGCGGCTAAACGGTTGAAGATATCAAAATGCGGTCTGGGCTGGAACTCTGTAACGTATAAGGATCGTTATCCCTATCGCTATGGCACTTGCTGTCTTGTTCTTTCTTGTCGAAATCAATAGAGAGGAAACGTCAATAAAGATAGAGAAAATATCCCTATTCGTTACAGAATTCCAGCCCTGGTATCGTGTTAGAGAAGGTTAGAGATAGAACCTATAAAATAGAAATTACAAATGGAAAAGTTTTCTATAGAAACCGTAAATTTTTGAAACCAAGTTAGGATCAATCAACTAAACCTGTAGTACTAAATAAGAAAAACTATCATTCATAATTTCTATCTCCAGAAAAGAAGAAAAAAGAGGAGGATGTGAAGTATTATTTGGAATTAGGTTCTGAACAAAATATTGTTAGTAATCAAGTGGGTGATAATCTAAAAATGACATCTTCAGTAGAGATGTTATGGAATAGCTTTTTCTTGTACCTAGTATGATCTCTACCTGCTCCCAACACAAACCTATTCCAAGTACCTGTTCCAGCTCCAAAGTATTTCCTGTCAAACTCAGTGATTCACATGGTCGCCGACAGGTGGCTAGCGCTATTATTAGAGGTTAGAACGTAAATAAACGTGTCTTTTATTAATACCGATTGATAATTCGAATGCTGGCAAGTGGCAATCCAGGGTAGCAGATTCTACTATTTCATTGAATTAATATACTAGAAGTGTTTTCTGGCGTCTCAAGGTTTTGAAACATTTTTCCAAACTTGTTTAAAACAGTTTCATAATGACGTCATAATTTCTCGGCGCAAAAAAATGGGTTTAAAACGTGGATCGGATTGTATTTCGAAACGGGTTGTTTGTTTCAAAAAAGTGAACGCGAGAAAACAGCTTTGGTTTAGGGCAAACACGTGATGTGCCAGTGCTTGCTCTGCGAACTCGGAACAGGTAAATCCAATATTTGGTAATAGGTACACGGAACAGGCAGGTCATACCTATTCCAAAAGAACAGGGTAGGTATTCTCGTTCGCCAAAACGCTCACCGCTTTTCAGTCGCTCGGCACTTTCAATGTAAATTTGCATTTAAAGTGCCGAGCGACTAGAAAGCGGAGAGCGTTTTTGAGAACCAGAATACCGGCCCTGGTCTAGTTCCAGCGTAACATCCCTAATCTTCAGGCAGGATTATCAAAGCCCCTAAGAGGCTGAACCTTTAGAAGGGGGATGTAGAGATACCTACGGTTAGGCAACCCACATGTCATTATGATGAATGACGGCATACTTCACAAATATGAAATAAAGGAATAGTGTTGAACTTAATCTCAAACAGGGTCGTTCTATTAAATTCCTAAACCTAGGGTAATTATAAAATAATAACAATAAATTACATTATTACAACCGTCAGCTCTAATATAACTTACGGAGCAGTAGCTTGGTACAGCCGAAGCCAGCTAGGAATCCCTAGAAAAAGTGCAAAAACTTGCGAGTCTTTCTATAACAGCAGCAATCAAGCGGTTCCAAGACTGCTGAGGGAACTGGAGCACGAATGTTTGGGCCACGACCACATACTAGGAGCCAATGAGCAATTCACGAAGCATCTTCCAAACGAAATTGCATGCAATCGGAAAATGCATGCAGTTCAGCCCTGCACATGAGAATTTTCACAGAAATTCAATAAGTTAGGAAAATAAATTAAAATGAACCTAGTCTGGGTGCCTGGAGGCGATACTGCATTCTTGAAGAACGAAACCGTAATGACAAGAACAAATGGACACAGCGAACGTCACATGTCACATTTAGTAAATTTCTGCTGCTAACCGAACAAAACTAAAAGTACTTTTTAACGCATTTAAAGTAGGGGAATTTTAGATGTTTTTGGTTGGAAACGGCGCGCGATGTTGCATGACTTTTATAAACATTTCCATTTCGCTATTTTTAGCTGTCGGTAGAATTATTGACACATGACATTCTGGTAAATTATAAGAAAAAAATAGGCATTGACAATATTGTCTGTCCTTGTCCGATGACGCCATCCTGAATATAATATAAAAAAACCTATACTTCAGCAAGCAATATGGGCAATATGGCCAACACCTGTACATATCTATGCCAAAGAACATCGCACACATCTTATGGGTTGTCGGGGACCGGTCGATTAAAACAAGCCTTTCAATTTATCGATGTTAGCGCACCCTGCAAGCTACATATCGGGATTTTTGTTTGCGATTTCGCAAATAAACAATCTAGATAAGCCTGATATACTATACAGGGTGGCTAGGCTTCCGTATTCTTTTAGAAATCCTGTCCTATTCTCAGGAATAGTATTACGAAAAAGGTCGCACTGGATTTTATTTGCTCGTAACTTTTTTAATAAGTAGTGCTACAAGTTATAGTGGAAAATGGTAAAATACAAACTAAATACACCATATTATTTTTACTTCAAAAATCGTGATTATACCTACTGCCTATTTGCACTGTCTTAAATACACCTAAGGAACGTATTTGATGGGTACTTCACATTGTTTTCATGTTGAGTGTAGCCTAACTACCAAAAAACTCTAAAAATGTGAGAGCACATGCCGAAAGTTCTAGCACCAACTTATTAATTATTATACAGGGCGTCCCAGCCGAGAGTGCGCGCCAACATCGATAATGAAAAAGCTTGTTTTATGATTTTCGGATCCACTATACTGGGTCACCCTGTATAGTAAGAGATTTTGTGCAATGATAAAAAATGCTTATTTTTGCTGGTACTACAAATACCAAATTATAAAAAAAATCGACCGGTCTCCGAAAACCCAAAATAAGTACCTACTTGACCACATGTACAAAGAAAGCTATAATTCGATGATTCCGTTGAAGAGTTAGCTTCAAGAATCCAGCAGAATGTCGACACTCTACCTAAACAGATAGGTACTCAACCTGCAGCTACCGAAAGTACAAATCCCAATTTTCCATTGAGGATATGAAAACTGGTCTACATTCTAGTAATTCTCCGATATTTTCAGAGGAATCATCCATGAACTTTACCAAAGGCGACAAGATGCATTATCTTTAAATCAGCACCAGGGGAGAAGCAAGTAAGCTCATTTAACATTTAGAAGCTATGGCAGCCAAATAGGATTCAGCATGGGACCTACTTCGTATGAAAATAAATAGATTTCAATACTTCAGCTCCCAGACAGGCTACTAGACCTGCCAAAAATCTCAAGGGAGAACGCCAAGAAAGCAGCTGGATAATGTCACCAGCGAATGTCTACAGGCACTGAAAAATCTAAGCGTCTTTTGTTTTTTATTGAATAATAGTTATGGCGCTGCAATGTAATAAATAATAATTATCCCTTTTTATTAGGAATTATCAATGTAACGTGTCGAGTATAGATAGATTTATAGCGCTAGTTATGTGTAGACAGAGACAGGTCACATTTCATCGCCTCTAGCTAACACAAAACAAAATAAAACATTCATGTTGCTGATGATGGTTGACCAGAGACGAAACGTTGGATTTCGAATTTGATTATGCTATGCTACAGAGGGGACAAGGTGACAATGATAGAGATCCAATATTTTAATAAAATATCACTTCGAATAAGCTTAGGAAAAATAAAATCGATTTCTTCGGTTTCTTTCGGAAGTATTCGTTACTTTCCAATTTTTGAAAAAGTATTTTGTTGAACATAAAATTACGCAACTTTTTTTCTAACTCGGCCGATCCTAAATCTCTTACCGTTTCTTATATCCTAATGCTATCCCATTCTTATCTTGGACATACAGATATATTCAGTTGCAATAAACTAAAAATAAAAAATGGGTAAATCAGCTTCAAAGTCTGATCGAAAGTCGCTATACTCCAAGGGATTTTTACTTGGGACAATGAAACTCAACGAAAAATGTTTATTGGATTGGGTAGCATTTTATAGTGTTTTCGGAAAACAAAATAACATTAGTTATATTGGACTCAGTCTATTTCTCGAAATAGTCTTGTCCAGATTTTATTTGTTTGTGTGGATTGTAGGGTTTGCTTAGGTTGGTTTTATCGAGTTTCCGTTAAGAATTTTCTACACACAACGGACATAGTAACTTACTTCAGTTCAATGTTCAAGAGTTGCTTCATGTAAACATGAGTTTGTTTTACCAACAAGATAGATAAGTAAAAGTAAATAATTTCAAAGTTAGAACATAGGTACATATAGAGAAGTATGATATTCTGAAATATTGTGACTGAACGGATTGCATCGAATTTTAATCAAGATACATTGCAAACATAAATAGAATTATTTAGGCACTTACCGGTCTGCAGCACTACCAAAAAATATAGCACCTATCATCATCCCGAACATATTCAAGGAATTTGATGTAGCAATCAAGTAGTCCTTATCACAGGTTAATTCGAACTAAAACAAATAGTATTGTACACTTATATTCTAATAGAACTTAGATGTAAGCACTTTTATTGCCTATCTCCATTTCCGAATCAGTATTAGCTGTTGGTTGCTTTCCAACGGAACCGCTGAGTTATCACAGCTAATTATTGTAAATATTAATCAAACCTAGATTTGAGGGAGTTGTATTGTATCCACACGTGAAAATAAATTTTCCGTTGGTAGTGTTTTTTTTAGAGAAGTAAGTACTTAAAGTTACTGTATCATCGAGGTATAATTAATAGCATTGGAAAAAGCTTTTTTGCCAATATCATTGGGGTCAAGTTCAATTTGCCGAAATCAATTGGCCAAATCGTTTTATCATTGAGTTTGCGATAATCGATTACGATTCTTCATTTTCTCTTTCCAGTGGCGTCCAATTTTTTTAGGACGATTCAAGGTATTTACTTGCTTTGTCCTAAGTATGGGATCGTACTCTTAATTTTTTAAGATTTTGTTATCGGAACTTATCGAAAAATTCCTTGTTATTAAATTAATGGTTTAATTAATAAAGCCCTTGAAACCTATAAGTTGCTGATGTTTACTTAAACTTCCGACATTCCGACAGCTCCAAAATATGTGAACTTTAAATTTGGTTGAATAACAAGTACTTTTATTTTATGAAATGAAAGTTTCGAAGGTTCGAATATTATGTATAGTCAGCCAATAAAGTAATGCTCCAAATTCAAAATTGACTGGCCTCTAAAACAGAAACTTTTAAATATATACCTATACCTATTTTAATTATCTACGACAGATAAACCAATCATAGAGCTATTGTCAATAAGAAAATCACAAAATTATTTCAAGCAGTTTTTTTTTTTTATAAATCGATGAATTTTTAATTGGGGACATTACTTTATTGGCTGACTGTACCTAATGATATCTGAGAATTCCCTTACCTACCTTTAAAAATACAAACCTAAAATTGCGTTTGATGTTTTTGAATTTTTATTTTTCAAATTAATTTCTGCAACAATTTGTATGAAAAAAATATAATTGGTATGAGTTCATAATAATCCATCGGGGGTAAAGTCAAACAAACAGGTAAAATTAATGATTTCTCCGTCACAATGTTGGTTGGGGTCACCATATAAAAGTTTTCTTCATAACTTGGGATCGTTGTATTTTCTTATTTTCATAATTTTGGTGATAGGGTTTCTCGTCATAATTCTTTTTTCTAAAGAACTTTGGATGTCATCAGAATCAGGACAATAATGCTGTAGTTATTATTAAAACTAAGTACATAATTCGGTACATCTTTGGAACGGTGTTCATTAGCAGAATGTGCGTTTTTTTCGGATTTTGTGCAAACTAAACGAAATGCTACAACAAATAAATCCACAACTTCACTGTAGGACTTAAAATGGACCAAGTATAGCATACCTAACAAAAATAATGAGCCAGGAATAGAGAAATATAATACAAAATACAGAGAATATTACGTAACGAAAACAAAGTTTATATTAAAAATTGAACAAAAAAAATATATACCTATACGCAAATAATCCATTCAATAGTCTACTATGAAATAGGTATACTAACCCAAACTTGCTCCTGAAGCTGAGGTTTTCTAGCCTAGACACATGTAGGGGGCTTTAACTTGATTAAAGTTTTTTTTTTTTTGGAGGAAGACATTGTGTTTTCTTTTGGAAATAAATGTTAACTCCACTTTGAGAAATGCACTACCCACTTTCTCGACTACTTCTTCAATTTAAATCAAACCAGAATGCTGAAATAAAAGTGCGAACACAACTAATATAGCGCGCTCTCGGTAACTCACATAGTTTTTAGAAGATAATTATTCCATTCTCATAAACCTAAAAAGAAAAGTAGGTATACGACACGTGCATAGTATCTACCGGTGTGCACGTATAGATTAGAGACCACCTCCGTCACCACAAAATTCGCTAAAAAATTAGAAACGACCCAAGGAGCGATGGAAAGAAACATGCTTGGAATATCACCAAGAGAAAAATAAGAAACACCGTGAGAAGACGCAAAAATAAAATGGCAAAAGTCTGGCCACATAGCCAGATACGATGAGAACAGATGTTCACGAACAATTCTAGAATTGGTGGATAAGGGAGGCAACAAGAAGTAGCGAAAGAGCTCAAAAAAGATGGGTGCACGGCATAAGGCATAGTAGCAGGCAAGAAGTGGACGAGATTGACGAAAAATAGAGAAAGACAGAAAAAATAAGGAGGGATCTACAACCAGAAGTGGATGTTAGAAGTTGACAAATAAGAGAAGAGCAGAGTATGCTCATGAAATTTAAAATGTTACTTTTGAAATGCAAGAATTTTTCTTCTTCTTAGGCAAACTACATACCTACTTTGCTTGCTCTATAAAGGAGTTTCAGGAAGTATTCGCACTATTACTTTACGTTAAAAAAAATTCACGAATTATTTTATTATTACAACATAAGCTTTGCACTCAAGTTATAAGAGTTTTCATTACTACTTTTCCACTCTGCTCTATTTCAAATAGTTTTGCATTACGAGTATCGATGGAAACATTAACTTTTCAGAATAATAAAACATAGACGTCTTGACAACCTATACCAAAATATTGCGGATTTTTTTTTTTTTTTCAAGTATAATTGTAATACTATTTTCAAACACAATCGATTGTTCTTCGATCAGAGTAAGTTGCAATAATTGCATTTTTTCTAAATCTTTCGAGTTCAGTTTTATTCTCAAAGCAATTAAATATGCTGCTCTACCGACTAGTTCACTTGAAAATTGTATCAAGTTGACTAGAAAACTCGGACCTAACATTTACGAGTTCCCAAGGTAATAGTTACTCTCCTAACATATTCGCAAAGTGATACTTTCCTGCATGCAAAACTAGTACAAAGGATCCCACACACTAATGCGGTACCGCAAGATTAGAATATGTGGCGGGTTATGTAAGCGAAATTACCCGTAAGTGTGAATTGCTTGCTTCCGTTCCCACACCCGCTCCCGTCGTAAACGAACGACGCGAAGCGGAGTACGGAAAAGTTTTAGGAGGGGCAGGTTAGACACTTTGCGCACGTGTTAGGAACAATATTCTTTCAACAAGCCTTTAAAAGTAGAAACGGAAACCTTCGTCGGTGTTATTATAATTTTAACATAAAACAGAATAAGCTAATACTATCTATTTTTCTAAGAGCGTTAAGAATATAGAAAACCTTTGAGTGCCCATCTATTATTTTATTTTAACGTGAAGAGGAACAAAATTCCCTTTTCCCGCACTTATTTGTCAGCGCAAAGTAGCAGCAAATTACTTTTTCGCGCGTCCACATATTACTGAGGTAGAGAAAAAAATTGTTTAAAAAACTCCTAGATTGCGTATCCCTAAGCGTTAACACAATAGGAAAAATGAAAATTGAAATACGATGATTTTCATTATTGTTAGAAACAATTGGAAAAGCGATTTTTCTCCAGGGTCTTCATGAGTTGCTTCGCATCACTTTCGAGAATCCCTCCGATGTTCGGAAATCATTGAAACGGCCGGTACTTGGTTGAGCGATGCAGGAACTGTCAACAATTTCCTACCAATTACACTAAATTAACACAAAAAATTTGGAAAGTTAGTTAAAAAAAAAGAAGCCTAATTATAACACCGAAAAACCTAGGAACCTATGCAAATAAATTGACCAAAAGTGACCAAAAATGGAATAGTTACCTTCCTACTGTTTTGATTTTTATGTGCAACAATTTTTTTGTTCGCCATTTATTAAGGATAATCTGAAAACACTTATTATGTGTGTCATGATAAAGCTTTTTTCCAAAACGGCAACTATGCACCTGTAGCATGTCAAATGCTACTGTTAGTATTTATTCCTTTTTTCTTTCAATTATAATCGAGATTATAATATAAAGTTAAATTATTACTTTCAATGTTGACAGTCTGGTGACTAGCATTTAATAAGAAGGTTTCTGCTGCTAATTATATTAGCAATTAATAAACTAGAGGGCACGATTTTTGTTTAGGTTTGAAGTACCAGTTTAGTACCAACAGTTTCTGTTTGCTATTTCTTGAACGGAAGCTGTGCCTGTAGAGATTGTGCGTTTCTTCATCCCTTTTTAATCTTGCCGCTGCCCTGAAAGGTCGACTCTGGCGGAGGGGGCAGCCATCTTCCTCGACGGTAATTACCGTTCTCGCGAAGAAAAATACCTTATCGGCCATCAGGCACTGTTTTAACGAAATAAAGTTGCGTAAGGCACTAATTCATTTAATACCGAAAAAAATTTGGTACCGTCATGATGAAAAAATATATATTTTATCAATAATCTGAACTGAGGTCAAGGTCGGACAATATGTTCTAAATTTAAAATTATTAAGACGGTCTTTATGAGTTAAAATTATTGTGTAAGTACAGTCGGAATCATTGCAATTGGCTCATACTCTTTAAAATCCCTTGTATTAGGTCAAAATTCTAACCAATAAATCTATTTAGTGCAGCATTTTGCTATTACTGTGTGTCAGATTTGACACATTACGACGGATATTTATATAGTGTGTGCCAATTGAAATGATTCCCACTGTACCTACATCGTCAAGAATTGATCAATTTTTCACTTGGGTTCTATTAGCTATTTATGTACCAAGGGGATTATGTAGATTATAATGCCCGAAGGCGAAACTAGCCCGAGGGCCTATGGCCCGAGGGATATATTTCGCCTGAAGGGCATTATAATCTTGAAATCCCCGTGGTGCATACAATGCTTTATTTTCTACTCAACCCAATATTTTTTCATCAATTTATTATTAACAAAATCAGTTAAACTTGTGTGACAGAATATTGATTTGTATTTTGACATGTACCTGTACCTGTGACCTGTACCTGTACCTGCGACCTGTACATAGAAACGAAATAAATTGATATATCTATAAACATCTCATAAGGCAAGGCAACGGTGGTGGTCCTGTGGGTTAACGCGCTGGACTACATGGGAAACGTTGATGGTAGACCGGGTTCGAAT